TCAGAAAAATGTTACGTTTATATATTAAGTATATTTATATACAATATAAATTACATGAATGTAAATATACAAAGTATATACATATTATGTAAACAAAAACTTTTATTTTTGATTTTTTTAATATGCAATTCATCACGATTAATTGTTGGACAGCACACACACACACACACATATATATGTATACAAATTATATATATATATATATATATATATATACATACAGTATATATATGAAGAGTTCATGTGCAAAAACAGATAACTCTGTTTTTAACAATTTTCAAAAATCATGTTTTTTCATTGTGCATTCCAATTAATCTCAATCAAACTGCAGTTGGGTTATTTTGATTAAGTAAAAATAACTTAAAAAATACAGCTAACTATCACAATAAAACACAATAAAAGCATGATAACAAAATAAAAAACTTAAAATGTAAAAAAAAACTGAGTTATCTCTGCATATATATAAATATATAAAGTATATAAAATACAAAAAAATAAAGTATTATATAAAGTACATATATTGACCTTCAGGTAGTGTGGTCTGGTAAACCACAGGACTCCAGGGGCTGGACAGCTGATCCACATGAAGACGAACTGCAAACTCATAATTGGTGTTTGGGTCCAAATCAGTGACCATCAGACTCTGGGCCGCACTGCAGGAACACACACACATATTAGAGGACGAGCATCACAATCTGTGTGTGTGTGTCAGTCTGGGGTCAGTAACACTCACGCCTGCAGGTACAGCACCAGCGAGGCATTCTGCAGTCCCACCGGGTTACAGCGCACTGTGTAGTTGACCGTCTGTCCGCCGGTGAAAGCGGGTCGGGCCCAATGCAGGAACACCGAGGAGGAGGAGTTACTGCGGGCGTAAACGTGATGAGGTGGCGGAGGGGGCGGGACCAGACGATCACGAACCGCTGCAAACAATCACACATAAAAATGTTTCAATGACATATTCACTTCAAGCTTTTTAGCCTACAAACTTAAAAAAAAAATGATTCTGAATCCTAACCCTATATGCTCACCAAGTCTGCATTTACTGGATTAAAAAAATACAGTAAAAACAGTAATATTGAGAAATATTTTTACAAGTTCAAATAACTGTTTTCTATGTGAATATCTGTTGAAATGTAATTTATTTCTGTGATCAAAGCTGTATTTTCAGCATCATTACTCCAGTCTTCAGTGTCACATGATCTTCAGAAATAATTCTAATATGCTGATTTGCTGCTCAAGAAACATTTCTGATTATTATCAATGTTGAAAACAGTTATTCAGTTTCATATTTTTGTGGAAACCGTGACACATTTTATTTTTCAGGATTCTTTGATGAATAGAAAGTTTTAAAAACAGCATTTATAATAGAAACCTTTTGTAACATCACAAAAATCTTTTTGTATCTTTTTTTCTCAATGTAATGCATCCATTTATATATTTATTTGTATATATTTTTTCATGCAGTAAAAATCTAAAATATACATATTATTTGTATTAGCTCTTTTATTTGTTGTATCTTTATATCTTGCATTTATTTGTGTTTAAATGTGCATGCATTTTACAATGCATTGTATGTAAAACCTTACTATCATGCCAATAAAGTTATTTGAAACTTGAACCTATATAATTTTTTTGAACAACGTTTGTAACTTAAGCCAATAATATACTATAGAAGTGTGTGTTTGTGTGTCGCAGCTGAACTCACAAACACATCCCGGTGTGCTGATGGTCTGGTCTGCCTGGTATCCTTCACCCATGAGACTATAGGCCAAGAGCTTGACATGGTACTTCTTTCTTGGATCTATAATAAAGAAATACAAGAAAAAAAATCAAGTTTAAAATCTGTTTCTACTGCATTTAGAATGGGTTAATTGGGTGTTCACACATACAGCAAAAAATCAACAGAAATTAGCTTTTTTTTTTTTTTTTTTAACAATGCATGAGAAGCCGTATCAGAAATTGATCCATGCACTGATGCATTGCTAATCGTTCAGCTGGTTCATGAAATGATGCATGATGTGTGCTGCTACTGATACACATCTTTAGTAGCAAAAGTACAGATTTGTGACCCTGGACCACAAAACCAGTCAAAAGGGTCAATTTTTGGAAATTGAGATTTATACATCATCTGAAAGCTGACTAAATAAGCTTTCCATTGATGTATGGTGATGTATTTGTTAGGATAGAACAATATTTGGTCGAGATGCAACTATTTGAAAATCTGGAATCTGAGGGTGCAAAAAAAATCTAAATATTGAGAAAATCATCTTTAAAGTTGTCCAAATGAAGTTCTTAGCAATGCATATTACTAATCATAAAATTAAGTTTTGATATATTTACGGTAGGAAATTTACAAAATATCTTCATGGAACATGATCTTTACTTAATATCCTAATGATTTTTGGCATGAAAGAAAAATGCATAATTTTGACACATACAATGTATTGTTGGCTATTGCTACAAATATACCCCAGCGACTTAAGACTGCTTTTGTGCTCCAGGGTCACATATGTCAAATTAGTAAGGCATCTTATTTCTCCCTGTAATGTATGTAATCTGTGATCAGATCTTCAAAAGCTTTAGTCAGATTATGTGTGAATGTGGCATAAGAGAACATGTGTGTGTGTGTGTGTGTAACAGCTGATGCATGTGTGTGTGTGTGTGTGTGTGTGTAGCACGTGTGTCTAATCATTAGCAGATGCCCTGAGCTGGAGGTGCTGGTCAGTGAGTTTGCGGTCGATCCTCCTGCTGCTCAACACAAAAGACGAGTGTCCATCCCCCGTTCAGTTCATCCAGCCGTCATCCATCTGCTTCAGCCCCTCACTGACTGACCACTGACCAGCGGACCACAGAGGTTAAATCAAAGACCCAAAGGCCATGGGAAACACACACAGAGAGGTCAGTCACGTGAGCAAAACCACAACCTCAACGATCATAAAGAGACCTCGGAACGACAGAAAAATTGATAACTGATCAGAAACTGATCATCTGGGCTCATCACATATTCAAATCAAATTCACAGGAAAGCGTTATTAAAAATTGCACTCTAAAAGTTGCTGTCCAAGTAATTGTTTTGCATTAACTAAAATACAAAAATTATTTTATAGATATGCCACTCACAAATAGACATTTTAGTCAAGGAAATAGTATTTAATATACTGCATAGCATAATGAGAATGAACTACAGATTTTTTTTTTTTAACTCCCCAATATTTCCAGCTTTTCCATGACCTCTGTCAGGTAAACCACTAACACAACACATAATTTTAAACATCCTGATAAACATGCTAATATGCACATTTTAAAATCTAAAAAAAAAAATAATAATTTTAGAGTGAGGAGTGAAAATTTGAGTTGCTGCAGTTTCCATGCTGTCCTGTAGTATTGAATTTGGCCACATGGTGGCGCTACACAACACAGAGATTCAATACTGACATCACTGAATGTGTTCTGAGCTTCAGATCAAGACACAAGGGTTAAAATGTACGTTAACACTAATATAGTACATAAATACATATCTAAAGTGTATATTTGTGAATATGTTTTTTTCAGGAAGTTTTGTTTACTTTTGGGCTATTAATATTAACAGTCCTGTGGTGTGAAAAATAAATTATTTAATATTAATTATTTAATATCAATCATTTAATTTGGATTAGATTTTATTTTTATTTTCAGTTTCCACTTTAATTTTAAGTTTTAGTAAAGTTTTGTGTTATGTATCATTTTTATTAGTTTATTTTTAAATATGCCTAAATAGTTTTATTAATTTTATTTATTTATTTTAGTTCATTTAGTTTTAGATATTTTAGTACTTCAAGTTTAACTAAACAAAAATGAGAAATGTTTCCTTGGCGACTAGTGGAAAGGAAATAGTTTGTTTATATTTAATTATAATTTAATAATATTTCAGCTAACATGCATTTTATTTCAAGTAACAAACATGTTTTTAGTTTACTTCAGTATAATAACTTTTCTTTAGTATAATAGCTTTTATAGTTTTTTTTATACATTTCTATTTTTTTTTTTTTTTACTTCAATTTTACTTCAACGTTTGTTCATTTAGTTTTAGATATTTTAGTACTTCAAGTTTAACTAAACAAAAATGAGAAATGTTTCCTTGGCGACTAGTGGAAAGGAAATAGTTTGTTTATATTTAATTATAATTTAATAATATTTCAGCTAACATGCATTTTATTTCAAGTAACAAACATGTTTTTAGTTTACTTCAGTATAATAACTTTTCTTTAGTATAATAGCTTTTATAGTTTTTTTTATACATTTCTATTTTTTTTTTTTTTACTTCAATTTTACTTCAACGTTTCATTTCAGTTAGTTGCCAAGACAACATTTCTAATTTTAATTAGAAATGTTCAGAAAGTTTTTCATCTAGTATTTATTTTTTATTTTCATCTAATATTTATATTTTTATTTTATTTTTGCCGTTTTATTTTTTAAGTACCGAAAATGTTTTTCAGTAGAACAACACTGCCATGAGTTAATCTGAGGTCAAGAAAACTGAATGCGTAATAATCAAACAAGTGAAGTTGACTGATAAACTATGATCAGATCGAGGGTTAAAGGACTAGATATGGATCTCAGACAGATGAAGCATTAGATCAGCACTGATATTGGCAGATCGTGTTCTTTAAAGCCTGGTGAATCAGACCACTATCAGTCAGACTGATCGATGCACACAGATGGCATCACAGCCACTGAGATCTGGATCTATAGAGCAGGGGTTGAGGGGGCGGGGCCAAACCCAGCAGTCCTGTCCTGATTGGACGGTTTGGTAAATAGTGTGTGGCATTGAGATCCACAGCTCTGAAGAGGCTCCGTGGAGCCGGTCAGGGGTCAAGGTTCACACACAGATAAAACTCCTTAGGAATCTGGAGTCAGAGGTCAGGCACACAAGTCAGGCCTCTTTCTCCAGGCCATCAGCATTCAGAGAGCGATAAAGAAAGTATTTGGATGGGGAATGACACACAAAACTCACTTTAAATCACATGGAGAGTAAGACGTGCGTGAGTCCACAAACAATAGCTAGGGGAAAAGAATAAGAAATTTAAATTATTAAAAAAATGAAATATAAAAAAATGAAATATATATATACTGTATATATATATATAATAAGCACTGTAGTCATTAAATATTTGCATGCCAATATTTAAAGTTCTTTTGAATTAATCCTATATCATTACATGTGATGTTATGGTGCCTTGGAAGTCTGTCTGAAACCAGGAGTTATCAAAACGCTACCTGTTAAGTCACTGACATTCAGTTTGAGACACAGCCAATGCAAAAGAGCATGTACTCAACAGAAACACCTCAAGCCCTAAACCAGCCTGAACAACAGCCTTCCTCCGGTACAATAGCCTGGAGATATGAACCACACACTGAGAGAGGGGTAATGAGAATGAACTACAGATTTTTTTTTTTTAACTCCCCAATATTTCCAGCTTTTCCATGACCTCTGTCAGGTAAACCACTAACACAACACATAATTTTAAACATCCTGATAAACATGCTAATATGCACATTTTAAAATCTAAAAAAAAAAATAATAATTTTAGAGTGAGGAGTGAAAATTTGAGTTGCTGCAGTTTCCATGCTGTCCTGTAGTATTGAATTTGGCCACATGGTGGCGCTACACAACACAGAGATTCAATACTGACATCACTGAATGTGTTCTGAGCTTCAGATCAAGACACAAGGGTTAAAATGTACGTTAACACTAATATAGTACATAAATACATATCTAAAGTGTATATTTGTGAATATGTTTTTTTCAGGAAGTTTTGTTTACTTTTGGGCTATTAATATTAACAGTCCTGTGGTGTGAAAAATAAATTATTTAATATTAATTATTTAATATCAATCATTTAATTTGGATTAGATTTTATTTTTATTTTCAGTTTCCACTTTAATTTTAAGTTTTAGTAAAGTTTTGTGTTATGTATCATTTTTATTAGTTTATTTTTAAATATGCCTAAATAGTTTTATTAATTTTATTTATTTATTTTAGTTCATTTAGTTTTAGATATTTTAGTACTTCAAGTTTAACTAAACAAAAATGAGAAATGTTTCCTTGGCGACTAGTGGAAAGGAAATAGTTTGTTTATATTTAATTATAATTTAATAATATTTCAGCTAACATGCATTTTATTTCAAGTAACAAACATGTTTTTAGTTTACTTCAGTATAATAACTTTTCTTTAGTATAATAGCTTTTATAGTTTTTTTTATACATTTCTATTTTTTTTTTTTTTACTTCAATTTTACTTCAACGTTTCATTTCAGTTAGTTGCCAAGACAACATTTCTAATTTTAATTAGAAATGTTCAGAAAGTTTTTCATCTAGTATTTATTTTTTATTTTCATCTAATATTTATATTTTTATTTTATTTTTGCCGTTTTATTTTTTAAGTACCGAAAATGTTTTTCAGTAGAACAACACTGCCATGAGTTAATCTGAGGTCAAGAAAACTGAATGCGTAATAATCAAACAAGTGAAGTTGACTGATAAACTATGATCAGATCGAGGGTTAAAGGACTAGATATGGATCTCAGACAGATGAAGCATTAGATCAGCACTGATATTGGCAGATCGTGTTCTTTAAAGCCTGGTGAATCAGACCACTATCAGTCAGACTGATCGATGCACACAGATGGCATCACAGCCACTGAGATCTGGATCTATAGAGCAGGGGTTGAGGGGGCGGGGCCAAACCCAGCAGTCCTGTCCTGATTGGACGGTTTGGTAAATAGTGTGTGGCATTGAGATCCACAGCTCTGAAGAGGCTC